GTCCACCAGTGATTCTCACCTGAGGATGCAGGACCCCGAGGCGGCCTATCAGAATCATCTTTTGGGCTCAGTTTCTTCTTTTGCTATTGTCTGTGTTCCTTTTAGAGACTGCTTTTTTTTTTCCTTTTCTTTTTCTGAGCTCAACACTGCTCACCCCTTGGATGATTAGATAGGCCTGCTTGGGGGTCCATGCCCCAGCCCTCCCTTGGGTGAAACCCACCTCCCACCCCAGATAAGAATCACTGCTGTGGATGGCCATCTTGATTCCCTAGCCTTTACTTTCCCATTTCCAGAGTTTATTCTTTGGTAGTTCCAGCTACACTTGCTACTCAAAAAGACCTTAGCATTTCCCTCCCCCATCCCCATATATGCCAGGCACTCTCTACTTGAAAATCACCTTGTTCTCCTCCCTGTCTACTCATTGAAACACACATGTCTCAAAATCTACTCTGCCCGAGAGATTTGTTCTTTAAAGTCCCTGCAGACACCTGCGGCCCCACATACCCATATGATTGTCAGGTGTTATATCAGTATCCGTGAACTCCAGCTGGTCCTTCCAGGGGCTTACTGTTTGCTCCTTTCCTTAATCACTCCACCTATTTTCAGATCCTTAACAAAGTAGTGCTGCAGAGACTTCCCCCGTTGTGTCTCATGTACCTGCTTATCTCCCAAAAGCCATCTCTTTACTTTTACCTGCCACTCTACCAGAAGCTACTCTATTCTTCAGTGCATTCAGAGGTCTTCTCCAGCCAGTATCTATCACTCCCAGTAGTCAACATGTAATAGTCCACTAGATCAATTAAATAAGATGGTTTTGCAAATGTCTAGAGTTTGGTTTGCCTCCCCCCACCCCCATTCCCAACCCCAAGCATATCCCCACCCCTTTCCCACTTGAAATCCCACTGCTCCCAACCCTGCCCTCCCATCCAACCCTGTCAACCCCCACCCCACCCCCCCCCCCCCCCCCCCCCCCCCCCCCCCCCCCCCCCCCCCCCCGGATCCGTGGTAAAGAGCCTGGCCCAAGATTCACACCTTTGCAACAAAGTTCAAGGCTTTAAGAGCAGCCATTCCTTCCTACCCATTGCTGTCCACCCCTTTTACGTGTCCCCTTCCTCATACCGAACCTTGCAGGCTGCCCTGAGCACTCCAGGTTCCTTTTTTCCACTCTTGAGACCTCCCCCTTCTCCTGGTTCCACCCGTGGCTGTCCTGCCTGTGGCTGTCCTACCTGGCTTCCTTCCACCACGCTCTCTGCCCTCCATCCTTCCCTGGGGGACCCTCCACCTTGTCGGTCTTTAGGTGACTCCCCAGTTGCGCTGCCTCATCGTCCCACTTCCACATTCTTTCTTGCAGCCTTTCCCCTTGTGACACATTTCTTCTCTTTGCTTCCTTGGCCAAGGGAAGGCACCTGCCTGTCTGTGGCCCATATTTCTCTCAACCACCCAGGACCTGTCGCTTCATCGGACTCAGTCATCTCTTCCCTAGGGATGCGCTCACTACTTTGACCTGCTCTCACCACTCAAACTTTTCCATCCTCTCCGTATCCCACCTTCCCTTCAACAACTGTTTTCTGTTGCTCCTCCAGATCTTCCACTGATTCAGGCCAGTGCCTTCCCGGATGCTGCCTTTTCCTTGCCCTCTTCCACTCCAACCTTTTCTCCTCTTCTTTCTGCTCCACTAGGAAGGCTCCCGCAAAACTCCATAGCCAGTCCCGCAACTTCCTTCTCTTTCTCCTTTCCTCACTTCCTTTATTTCCATTTATCTCGGATAGGGCCCCAGTGAGCCGATGCACCCCTGCCCATCACGCCTACCCTTCCATTACCCATTCAGGCTGTCCAGATCGCTCATTTCTTCTTTCCCTCTTGATTGCACTACCTTCACAACACCCATGTTTACAATTTAAGACCTTCTTACATAGGTTCCCACTCTGTCCTCCTCTGCTTTTCCTCCTGTTTTCCTCTAGATGAAGTTTTTCATAAATGAAGTCCACACTCCAGCAACAAACACACCAGCTCTCTACAGTCCTTAGCCATACTCTGTCCCGTGTACACATCTAATACTGATCTCAACTCCCATTACAACTATAAGGCCCACTGTGTTTGAGACTCTCCCTTGCCCAGGTATATTACATGTCTATTTACCTACTTCCAGCTGCAAGCTACACTTCTATCCTTTTAGCCTCGCTTGACAGCAGAAGCTCAGATTCAGTGATCATTCTGAATTGCTTCCTCTGCATTGGTTCCTAACTACTCCTCCACTATTTGCAGACATCTTTCTACCCAACCAGTAGACTCAAACCACTTAGGTTCATTGCCAAGTCCCTGAGGTTACCATGCCCAGTGCCATCTTACGTGCAGTGATCCTGTTTCCTTCATTTAATCTGAGTTGTTTGTCCCCATCCCCCACATTCTCCTGTGAACCTATTCTGCATATTCCTGGGCTTTTGTCTCTACTCTGATCCTACAGTCTGGCCTTGATGATAGTCAGGAAACCAACTTCTGCCGTGAGATCTGTCTATGCCCCAGTTTGGGAACTCTGCATTCCCCCTTCAGCTTTCCACCTTGGCCCCTTGACCAGCATTCATCACCACCACAGATTTGTGAGGCTGTCTCCTGTACATGCTTCCAGTCCCTTTCTTTTCATATTCACTTACCTGACCCAGTTGCAACCCATACACCACCTCACATGGATGCCTCACTCACAGACACACACTCTCTCTCTCCCCCTCCCCTCAGGATTCACATTAAAACCTTGCATCACCCATCAATGCATCTTCTCCTACTGCTGTCTTCCAGACACCCTCCACTTCATCTTCAGCATCCAATCCTTCCTGCCCTGCCCTCCCTGCTGCCACCATTGCCAGAGCCTCTTTATCTCCAGCATGCTCTACTGAGTCCATCTGCTGTCCCCAACCACCCTGTCAGCCCTGCCATGTTGGACACAGTTCTTTCCTCATCCAAGTCAATCCACCTGACCTTGCATCATCTCCCATGCCCTTCCTGACACTGTGGTCCCAGCATTTCCAAGGTGCCTGCATCTCCTACATACTCCCTGTCTACTGCCATCTCTCACCTCTCCCCACTCCTTGCTTGTCTTAACGCACGCAGTGCTTTATCATCCACGAACTGCGTCATACACTTTGCCCCTTCTGGGGTGAAGTCCCTGGATTCTCTCCATCCGCTCCCTCCCTCGTGGTGCCTGGCTTGCCTCCTTTACTGCAGTGCATCCCTCATCCTCCCAACAAGCTCTCCTCTCTTAGCTTCTGGGCCCCATGGCCTGCTCCGACTCATTCTTCATGCCCATTAGGGAACACCTCTCCTCTGTCCTGCTCTTCCATGTGTTGCAGACTCATCCCCCGATGTCCCAGCGGCCAGCTCCCGGGCCCAGGCTGCTCGTTCCTCCTGCTTTCCTCCTCTGCTGCACAGCACGGTACTGTCCCACCTGCACCATCCTGCCTTCTCCCAGCACCATCTGTGATTCTCCACTGCCTGAGTCATGTTCTCAGGTGCGTCCTCCCTTCTTGATCTGGCCCCGCACCCACTGCTCCAGCAGATGCAGACATCTCTGCGTCACACTTACCATACCACATCCACAAGCTCTGCCCAGCCTATCTGTGCCCACATCCCAGTGGCCCAGGCTATGTGTACCTTCCAGCACCCCACAACCCTGACTCCCCAAAACCTTCTCAACTCCCTTTGCATCATTTCTTTCCCATTCTTGTGCAAACACTCTAGGGATTATGCACCTCTGAATCTCCTACCTTATTCCTGTCACCGCAGCAGTTTTGTCATCAGCCCTCACTCTTGTCCCCTCTCCACCTGCCTACACCCCCCATAGAAACACACCCGGTCTCAACCTGCCTCTCCTGCCCTGCCTGAGACCCAACTCTCCACTCCCCCTGGGTGCTCCTACCAGTCCCACTCTCCTCCCGCCTTGTCCCTCCTTAGCGCCATGTCTTCAAGACAATCTCCTTCCACGCTGTCTCCATCCCCCTTTG